ACTACTACTACTACTACTACTACTACTACTACTACTACTACTACTACTACTACTACTACTACACTACTATTACTACCTACCTACCTACTACTACTACGACTACTACTACTACTACTACTACTACTACTACTACTACTACTACTACTACTACTACTACTACTACTACTACTACTACTACTATACAATTACAACCTGTTGGTTAAACGGTAGCATCAAGTATTTGCTCGTCACTTGCATAATGATAAGAGTCCTGCAGCGTCTCGCTATACGTTAGGAAAAAACAAGGTTTTTCGTCGACTACTCAATTTTGCAATAGCGCGGAGAACTGATTAATTTTCGTTTTCTTAAATAAAAAATACTCAAGTAAAATATTCACCTGGTTTTAAATATAAATGCTAGAGTTTTTCATCAATGCACATATGACACAGATAGAGCTAATGGCTACATTGCGTATCCTATTGCTAAAACAGGCGGGTTTTAAATGGGACAGCCGTTTGCATATCGAGTACTCTTGCACTTGGTAATCTAAATATATAGATTATGTTGCCCACAATCTGATGTCAGACATAGCCATATTGGATCTAGTTTATAAGCCATGATAATCCACTTTCCGTATCAACCTAACGGTAATGTTCTGAAACTGGATCGAACCGGTGACCGCGGTTTAAATGGTTCCATGCCATGTTTTTGATGCTGTAATTAATATGATACGCTGCTCTTATTTACCAAAGGCCTTGATGTGTTTCGGATTATTGTTTGAGGTAGATTATCGTTTGTTACTTATTACATGCTATTGTGTTTCAGCCCCAGCCCCATTGACTCGGTCACCATCAGATAAGATGTTGACATCTATCAAAATATTTTCATTAAATACTTTTCAATATAATGGCACATTAAAGCAATTGACAATGTACATTTTACGTTTTGTCATTGAACGTTAAATTCTGTGAATTTAGCGAGATGGGAAAATTGTCGCCTATTACAACGAGTATAAGGCTGATAATTTAGACATTATCATGGCAATAATGGCGACACTTCCGGTATATGGCGTTCCCTATCACCAGACTTCGGTTATCGACTTCCGCCAATGCAGACGCAATTGTTGTTTAGATGATGTCGCTACTGGTGTGCGTTCCCGTGTAGGATGTTTGTTTCTGTGACAATAGATACGGCCATGGCTACCAAGGTATATACTTTACTTATTTGAATCCCAATCCCCATCACAATAGGTTCGCATAGACTTCAGTGTTACAATTGAATAATTCTATGAAACAATCGTTATTTCGATTCAAGATAAATTTATCTCAACTCTTAG